AAAAATTAAAAAAAAATAAAAAAAGTTATCTTCCTTTCTTCCTCTTCCACTAGAGATGGCAATGGGGCGGGTTTTTTTGCCATCACTATCTTCCACCTCCCCTTCTCCACCACCACCACCACCACCACCACCAAACTTTTACTTGAATGACCGATACTGTGAGGATCATATATGCAGTGGGTAGCTAATTTAAACATTTCTTTTTCCAAATTTAGTTGGCAATTTATTCTTTATTTTTCTTTTCTTTTCTTTTTGTTTTATTTAAATAGAAAAGTGTATATTTGCCATTTTACAATTCTTAATTGAGAAATTGGATAAAAATTGATGAAAACGATGTTTTCCACAATGAAAAAGTGAAAATAAGGATGAAAAATGCAAAAAATTGAAATGTATGGATGTTGTGCCCATTAAAGGTCATACGTAGGGACGTTTTGTGCTAATAAGCCAAAAAAAATCTTAAATTTCTCCCTTTGATCATTATTATACTTATCATTAATAAACAGCAAAAAGAAAACTTTGCAAGAGAGCTAAAAGCCTAAAACAGGAGGCCAAACTGATGGAATTGATCGTCTTAATGATTGCTAGTCCACGTGAAGGTTTAACCGTTGCTATGCAGGATGTGATGTTAATCGAGCTAATGGAGTGACCAATTATGTAATACGATTTAGTTTTAATGACTAAATAGGTTATAAAAATACTTTAATGACCAATTATAATTATCCTTGAACTTCAGTGACCATCGGTGAAATTCTCTAATAAATATAGAGTATGGCTATCATTATGTGAAAATTGCACCGTTGGACCCCAATCTATTGCAGTAATAGCAAATTGATCTAATTTGCCAAAACAATTTTGAATTACAGAAGCGGTTCAAATCTTTGTTATTATCAAACTAGACGGCTAGTTTAACTGAAAAAAAACAAGAACGTATCCTATTATAGTAAAATAAATGAAAAACATTAAATGATTTAAGAATTGCTTTTTCTCCCTCAAAATCATCTTGTTCGTAATTAAAACCGATCCAAACATGCCAAAATAATTTTGATTTATTTAATAAGCTTATTTACCACTTGTTCATCTGCGCTTCAAGTTTTTAACCGTTAGACTATGTTTGACTCATATTTATAAACATTCAAGTCATTTTTACAATTCATAAGTATTATCAATTTATTTATTTTTATTATAATTTAAATCATATATAAACACTTCCCAACAGATTTTTGATTCCTTATGGTTTTCAAATAAACTCTGTTCATTATTCGGCTTATAGGCTCCGAAATTGTAGTTGTTTAATCTTGATTTTTGAGTAAAGTTAATTGATGTTTGATTAAGATTGATTCGTGCTACTTCATTCTTGACATCATTAAGATGTTCGAGTCTACTTTCAAGTGTCATAAATATCAATTTAAACCATTGGCCCCATCGCCAACTCCTCTTTAACCACAAAATTGACTAATTCTACTTGTACAGAAGCTGTTCTGGCAAAATTAATGCAAATGTTGTCACTGTTACTGCTGTGGCTGCATCTATTTGGTTTGTCTTTTTTTTTTTTTCATTGTCCAACCAAAAACTGCCAACTATCTTAATTCGATAGCATATTTTCTGTACAAATAGCAAAGAGAAAATTACCTACAAACCTACTTTTAAAATTTCATTTTCAAAAAACAAGTGAATTGATTTTTATTTCACAAAT